AAGAGGATTTACTGCTCTTCTCTCTCTCTCTCTCTCTCTCTCTCGCTGACGTACTCAAGATTATTACAAGATATGACTTAAGCAATTAAAGTCTCCTCATTTATAATTTTGTTATTATTATAAGAAATCAATTGCGATTTCATTTACTTTCTGCTTATGTCTCATTTACCATTTTTGGTAAGGGGGTATGTTAAGTTTGTGTGCTTGTATGCAACACGAAGAACAGCTCGAGATGAGCTCATTTTCTTATAGTACGAATTAAATCATAAAGTGATTCGAGTTATATTTGTGTGTCCATCTGTCCGGTTTATTTTCCTATGTTTAGTCCACAATTTTCGTGATATTTTGATGAGATTGATTTAATTGGCTTGTTTTAACCCAAGGACAAATGCTGTTGAAAATGCTTCGGATCAAACCACTCTTTCGACCGCTCCCCACATAACGCCTCACTTATAGGGTGACGTATAGTATTTAATTGTCAACCATGGCCCACTATAGTACTTTTACTTCTCCTAATTCTACAATATATAAAATGTTATTGACATTTATAGCACAAATAAACCTTCTTAAAGACATACATACGTTCAAGTATACATTTCATTCCAGTTACACTTCAGATGGGCAAATAAATGGTATTTTCTGTTAATCGTTTATTATTATTAAAATAAATATTTAGATAACAAATTACAACTTCAAGCGTTATTAAATTCTTTTTCATCAAACACACAGGCACACGCTCATAATTAAATACATGAAAGTAGCATACGTAATCGTTAAAACCGGTAGGAAAGTCTTTCTCTTTACATGCGTTTCTGTACCCTACACTACTTGTAGCAAGGAGATGTGTAACAACCAGAGGAGCTTAAAATGGATTTGACTTTTATTATACCCAAGCGATTTAAGACCGTCTCTCCGCCTATCTGGCCTGGTTTTTTTATGTTCAGCCTACAGGTGGCAAGTTTTAAGATATTTTGACATTGGTACACGGGCGTCCTTTAACTCAGGGACGAACGCAATTGAAAATGGTTCGGATCGGTTCACTTTTTCGACCACTCCCCACATAAAGACTTATTTTGAAAAGCCGTAATATGGAAAAAAAGTGATTTTTAAAATTTTTCAACAAAACTCGCTTAGTACAAATAATTTGACAGTCTAAACCGGTATGAAAAACTAGGTTCGCATGGAGTAATATTTTGAAATCTTTCTCATATAATCGTTCCTACGAAAACTGAATTTTTACTTGATAAAATGGTATAGTTTTTCAATATTTTAAGGTGAAAATTGGTTCGCAATAGGATACTAACATAGATATTATTCTTACTGAATTTGGAACGCGTGGATCTATTGATTGGATACCAAAGCATATGAGAATTCTTAGAAAACATAAACCCTTACGCGCTAAGAGGCCTAATTAAAGTGAATATTTTATGATAAAAATTTATTCATGATACTAATTTGTACCTAAGAATTAAGTACGCCAAATTTGATCGACGTGGATCCATATTAGATTTCTCATGGATGGTAAGCCTTTCAGAAAAGGGTTTAATTTTTAATATTTCATCATAAAAATTTGTACCAATTTGGTATAAAAATTAACAGTATGAAATTTGGATCAGAGAGCTCTATTTTTTCGACCCTAAGATATTTGAAAAGCAAGCGCTTATGTTGAGGGAAAGTATACTTTCTAGTTTTTCGTAAAGGAATCTGAAAAATAATAAAATTTTTGGGAAATAAATTAAGTTTGTTAAATTTGGACGTTGTCGCGTAACATTTTGATCATCCTCCAATATGCGGGATTGTATGTCTTTGAAAATAATGTGTAGCTTTTGGTGACTAAACAGGTGAATGACTGTAGTGAGTGAAGCGGTGTAAGATGGTGGCTCATAATTCTCTTATTTGTTTTTTTTTTTTTTTATATTTATTATAATAAGGCACGTCACGTTATATTAACGAATAGTTAAAGTAAAATAAATAAATATTTAATTTAACTCTTATTCAAAATTGAGAGGCGCTCAGGTTAAGGTTAATAGATAGAGATTAAATCATTTAAGCTTGAAATGAATGTTTGTTGGGAACCTTCCAACCGTCCCAACCAGTTAAAATGAGAAAACAGTTGGGGTGTATGTTTAACTGTAGAAATTTGTTTTTATAATGAATCTGATATCTTCAAAATGTAAATCTCGAGATAAATTTAGATTCATTCAGATGCATTCAGATGCGTAAAAATACGTTTAATTTAAGGTAGAAGTTCATTATGTTAAGGAATGGCTCGTCGTTGAGCGCTTTCTTTCAGTTTTTCTTAAGCAAACATTGTTGCAATCACGCCAGTGCTGCCCTAAGGCTCTTATTACGATATAATTATCATTTCACAGCTTTACGCAGCAAAACACAGTTTTATCGAAATTTAATTTGAAAATGATTTGGAATCTAGGTAGGTCTACCTTAAGTCATTACAAAGTAAAAAGTATAGATGTCTCAGACATCGGTCCATGTAGATACTGCTAGCAAGCGCATGTGCGGCCCTCTACAGGTTCATGTACCAGATCTTTGAGGTACATTTCATCGCACCAAACACCCTACGATGTTTCGAACCTAAGAAAGTGGGGCCATTCGTAAGTATCCTAAGCAAGGAAGTAAGAGGCATGAGCGATAAATACAACAGATCTTTTAGAAAGCAATGCCCACCACAAAAACGCATGTGTTGGAAGCATCCACGTAAGTTTAATATATCTTATATCGCAAGTGGTTCCTATTTGATCCAAGCGGCCCGTTAAGTAAGACTCCTGCACCTTTTTCTAACGAAATGTCTCATCTTATAATATATAAAGTTTTTGGTAATTATCTCATCTCTTCTTCACTCACATTTCCTCGAACACTTAAGTCGTTTTAATCGGTACATGAATAGAAATTTTATTAGGAAAACAAAAAAAAAAAAAAAACACCGGTCATTAAATACCCTACACAGCCATACAGTTACTCATTTTCATATTTATTTTGAAAAGTTCAAAATAAGGCATTTTATGAGACGAAGAAAAGTAGCCCGATCTGAGCCACCCTTGAACCAGTATATCTCAATTTTGATCAAAAGTATCGCAAAAATTTACTCGGCTTGTAAGTCGAGCAGAAGAAAACAACATAGACACACGGACAGACGGACAGCGAGGTTTAAATAGATTTAGAATCATTTTCTTGATTTCATCAAATGTGAATTTATCTCAAGTCTTTCTTTGTTTTGCACACATGCGCACAAACTTAATATGTCAATCTAGAGCAAGTTGTGAGGTGAAATCATATAAAACCAAACGCAAAAATCCGAAAAATGTTTTTTGTATCGACCGTGATGGAAAGCATGGACCGATGTATCTGAAATTTAAATTTAATGTGAAGGGTGTAATAAGAACAAGTATGTTCTTCCAGGCAATATGATTAGATTGATTGAGCGATTTTAACATGTGTTCTGTAGATAGGCAAGCAGATATGGCCGAATCGTTCCGATGTATATAGGACTGGAAATACAAATAGAGGATTTCCATATATTGCTTCATTCAATGCATTTGACAAATTCACTAAAGACCTTCCTCTGGTGGTCATTATAAAAAATTAAGCTTGCAAAGCATTCATTTAAGACAACAACCTGTGCAAGTTCTTAAATAAAGCTTTAAGTTAGTTTAGTTAGACGCACTGTGCTGATTTTGCAACAACAAAAACACACGGTATTAGCTTCACAAAAACATTATATGTTACCTTAAAGCTTTCTATTAAAATGCATTTTTCTCATATTCGCAAACACAGAGCCATTATGAAATATTAGACTGATGCGCCTAATTGGCATTTTGCGCTTAACGGATATTGTCTTATTATTAGATATTTATATTTTGTTTATGTTTTATTAGCTCAAGCGGCGAACCTTCAAAACAACAATACTATTGAAGTGTCCGGATGTGAGCTTCAATAACACCTCGATTTTCTAAAGTACATAAAACGTATTACTTACTTATACATCAGGCATAAAGTACAGTAAGTACATCTACACAAATTTGAACGAATATTTTATGGGCGATCTTGTAAAAACAGTACAAAAATGTCATCCATCCATCCATCCATCAAATCGATCAATCGAAATTAAATATAATTTTCAATAACTCAAAAACCCCATAAAGTACACAAATTCTTTACCAGTTTTAATTAACATCGGAATGCACCTAAGCGTGTCCGTCTATTCCTCTGTCCATCTGTCCGTTCGCCCAATTATGTAAGCATTCTCTCGTTCGCAAAAGTAAAATTATCGCCCAAAAATTTGCAAAATAATCTGAAAATGTCAGAGGACACACCTGCAACGGCAACACGTGTGTACAACAAAAATTGTGCACAATTTTTTCAGCTTGTTGCAAACTACAAAGACAACACGTTGTATATTTCCACTTTTATTCTAAAAATCTATATTATCAGCCACGCCCTTGCAATGTTTTAATATATAAAAATTTTTTTCTTCTCTTCTCTTTTTTGGGATCATGGCGACGACTACAACAGAATCACGCTATTTTTTATTCTGCAAATATCAGCCACGCCCTCTCCCTCACCCCCCGGGTACGATATCAAAATTTAGTTCTTTTCCCTTCTTTTTTAGAATCACGACGATAGGTTACAGTTAAATGAAACGTTTGTCTCATAAGTGAGAGCGAGGCAAGCAAAAATATTATTTGGTTTGCACCTAACATGCAATAAAAATGTTTACTATCGTTGTCGCAAAGTACTTTTAGCTTACAAACTTCTGGCGTAAATTTTCTGTCGGTACTTTTCATACACTTTATACTCTAGTAGAAAAATCAAAGCAAGCGGGTGAAATCTGTCTTCACAAGGTATCTGTATATCTGTCAAATTGTTGAAAAATTTGTAGATTTACTTATACATCTTTCGAGTCGGACGCATTAGACGGCTCAGTATCCAAAAAAAAAAAAAAGAAAAAAAGCATTTGAATAAAGCAAAAAAATAATATTAATATGGGAAAAAAGAATAGTAAGTAAATTGAGGCCTACGGCTAATCCCTTTATAAAATCATATTTTACAGAATATAAACTAAATGAGAATCCTGATAATAATCAGAACATACCGCCGGAGAATCCACGTCAGTCAGATCCTGTAGAAAAGAGACAAAAGGAACATATAGGTAAAGAATAATAAAAATATTAAATACATTTTTGGCGAGAACAAAATTTGAGTCATTAATTTGGAAAAGCGGAGGAGAATAGTTTTTTTTACCCAATAGATACCTTCTTCATTGCGTAAGAGCGTAGGGTTCACATCGTTCTACTCACATTTTTTTTTATTTTCAAAAACACATTCTTTCGGCGAGATTTCGTCAATCACACGCGTGGTAGTTTTTTTTTTTTTTTTTTGGAAGCAGTCGTAATCAATAGCAGTGACCCGCTCGTCTTTTTAAGACGAGATTTTCACTTAAACACGAAGAGGAAACTCAGTAAGAAAATCAAATATTTTTGTGAAACTTTCGAGACAAAATTCGCTAAGTTTTCGCAGCAGATAGAATATTCTTTTTCCTATGCGTGGTTCATTGTGGTTTTTACTATATGTAAGGCAATGTTAGTCAAGGCGAACAGCGGGGAGGAAGAAGCGATCAAGGAAAACAGCAACTGCTTGACGATGGGCAGCAAAGAACACGGGCAGCGCAATTCCAACATAGCGGAGGCGACACTCGTGGTAGAAATGACGGCCGGATTGGGGAACCATTACAGGAAAGGCAACAATTTCGCTCTGAACAACAACAAGATGCTAATTGGAATAGGCATGAACAGCAGCCTAGGCAGGAAGGGGGGTGGGGATGGCCACCGAAACGACAGCAATTGCTTGTGGGGCAACAAGATGGACAACAAACACAACAAGGTTTGTCTAGGAATGGCCAACAACAAGGCGGAGCCGTTGGAGTAGGGCAACCGCCGCAGCAGCTGCAGTTTGACAGACGGCAGCAAGGGGCATGGGGCGGCCAAAAAAGGCAAGCTTATGAAGGCCAGCAACGAATGCAACCACAACAAGAAGGAGGGTGGGGATACAAGAAAGAAGCTGGCAGTGGACAAAGACATCAGACCGCTGGAGGCGGAAATCGAGATAGGTTTGGCACCCAGCAACAGCCGTATAGGCACGAGGGAACCCGAAGTTATCAAGCGGGACAGCAACACAGTCTACCCCAACAACAACAACAACAACAGCACCAAGGGACAGGATTCCCCGCCGGTGAAGATTCGTTTTTATTCGCTTGAATTATTCTCTTACTTTCATTTTTTTTTAACTGCTCAGTAGAATCTGCACAGCAGCCATATAGGCAAGACGAAGCCCGAAGATGTCAATCGGGGCAGCAGAAAAGTCCACCTCAACAACAACAGAAACAGCATCAAGGATTAGGATTCGTCGCCGGCGAAGGTTCGTTTTCACTAGCTTGAGCTCTTCTCTTAATTTCATTCTTATTTAACTGCTCAGAAGAATCTGCACCGGCGTATAATGTCGTATCTTGTGCTGGAGTTCAACGTGGAACGCTGGGTAGACAAGGAATATGTGAAGTCAACTATTTGAGGATGAATATTGATAAAATGGCCGACATTGCTTATCATTATGACGTGACCATTACACCAGATCGTCCTAAAAAGTTTCTTCGTCCAGCTTTCGATCAATGTCAAAGACAGTATTTCAGTCAATACGTAATGGCTTTTGACGGCTCCAAGAGTTGCTATTCTGTAATGCGTCTTCCGGAAAAATCCTACGAGTATGAAATTGAGGTGAGGAGGACATTTTTTTGTAACAAATGCATAATATTTACGCTCACTTTAGGTGATGGATAGTGGAGATCGACAAAAATCATTTAAACTCCAAATAAAGGAAACTGATATACCTGAAGTCGAATTGGCATCTCTACGATCGTAAGTGCTCTCGGTGGAACTGAGAAAAATTGATGTATCTAAATCACTCGAAATTAATTTTCAGTTATCATAACGATCGTGTGTTCGATAAGCCCATGCGGGCATTACAGGCTTTAGAGGTGATTTTAGCATCCAATAATCATAAGCTTGGAATTCGTGTCGGACGATCATTTTATCGAAAGCCTACAGAATTTTACGATTTAGGAGATGGTTATGAAATGTATACGGGAATCTATCAGGCCGCTATTCTAGGCGAGGTACCCTTACTCAATGTCGATATTTCCCACAAATCATTTCCGAAAACTCAGTCCATCATTCAATATATGAGAGAATGCGGCGTAGATCTCAATCGCTCGATTGAAGATAGCCGTGTAAAGAGAACTATTATTCTATTTTTAAAAGGTATAGATATTATATACACTCCGCCGGCCAAGTTTGGAGCTCTGCCTAAGAAATACAAAGTATTCGACATTGGAGATGCGCCTGGAAAAACAACGTTTACGTTGAACGACGGCAAAAAGACAACTGTAAAAGATTACTTTGCATCGAAGGGGTGCATCTTGCAATATCCTTATTTGAATTGCATCACAGCAGGTTCGACAATACACAAAATATCCCTACCAATGGAATTCTGTTCGATTGCTGGAGATCAAGTTTTAAACGTGAGTTTTCGTTTGAAAGAATGTTTATTCTTCTTCCTCTAAAAAAAGGAAACACGTTTTTTTTATCATTTATTTGAAAACAAAATAGCGCAAGGATGGGAATATGCAAGTTGCCAAAATGATTAAATATTCCGCCACATCTACGAATGAGCGAAAAAGTAAAATTATGAATTTATTGGCTCATTTTCGCCACAACGAAAACTTGACTATACGATCGTTCGGCGTACAATTCGGTAGTAATTTTATAAAAGTTCATTTTCGCTTATTGCCACCGCCAGAATTGGAGTATTTTGGTGGTAAAACTGCACGCCCACGCGACGGTGCCTGGCAATTGACTGACGTCAAATTTTTAGAGACTTCCAAAGTCAATCCCGGACACAAATGGGCAATCATTTACGAAAATAAAGGTCGTCCGATTAACGCGCATTCATTACAAGATTTTAAAAAGGCCGTAAGCGTAACCAAATTTATTATTTATGTTATGTTGTAAGCTTCCTTTATGCAATATAATTTTCCGATCAAGGTGCAAAAGACGGCTCAACTACTTGATGTAAAGTTGGCGCAGGAAGGAGAAATAAGAGGTTTTCAAAATATCGATTGGGTTTTACAAGATCTTGCGAAGGAAAGTTTCGCTCTGGTAAGGCAAGCTGTACTCATTCATACTTATACCCTACACCACTTGTGGTAATTGTGGTTGAGTTTGTGCGTATGTAACACGCAGAAAGGCTTTATTATACCGATCGATTCAGAATCATAACCTCAATTGATCTGTCCGTCTGTCTGTCTCTTCGTCTGAGATCTGTCCACGTAAATTTATGTTCAAGCTGCAGGTCACAATTTTTGTGATATTTGTGACTAAATATTACCAGTGTAGCAAACATGGACAATCTGAGCGTATTTTTTTGAATCTACCCTAATAAGGATACTCACAGAAGTTGATCCTTTGTCGAGCAGAAAAGTCCAAGTTTTAATATGTGGTGATAGAATTTGACCCATAATAGCGCTTACATACAAAAATAAGGATTGTGTTAGACAATGTAGTGTAGGCTATTCCAATGGTCGGCCTTGCCCGACTACAATGTTCTTCTTATTATTATTATTATTTCAAGTGACTTTCGTCGCAACGTCTCACTTTTCCGTAACAGGTAATTGTTGTATTGCCGAATTATGGTACATCGTATGCTTCGGTAAAACAAAATGCCGAACTTAAAGTGGGAATTTTGACTCAATGTATTAAAGAGAAAACTGTATTACGTGCTCCCAAAGACGCATCGGTGATGCACAATTTAATGCTGAAAGTCAATGCGAAATTGAACGGTACCAATCACAAGGTATCGGAAGAAAAGGAGGCCGGATTAAAAAAGCTTCTCCAACCTATTCGTAATGTGATGTTTATGGGCGCGGATGTAACTCATCCCTCGCCTGATCAGCGTCATATACCAAGTGTTGTAGGTGTGGCAGCATCTCATGACGCTTACGGCGCATGTTACAACATGCAGTATCGTTTGCAAAAATCAACACTCGAGGAAATCGAAGACATGAAATCCATCACTGAATATCATTTGAGCATTTACAAAAGTTATCAAAATCGCTATCCGGAATATATAATTTACTATCGAGATGGAGTTTCGGATGGTCAATTTCCCAAAATAAGGAAAGATGAGCTGGGCGGCATACGTCGAGCTTGCGCCCAAATGGTACGGCTGCAATAATTTTCTGTTTACGTCAGTAATAAAATTAAAATGTTTTTTATGTTTATTTTCAGGGCTGTAATCCAAAGATCACTTGTCTTGTCGTAATTAAGCGCCATCATACACGTTTCTTTCCACTTCGACAAAGTCAAGGTTTTCGAGATTTTAACAACGTCGAGCCGGGTACGGTCGTCGATCAGTATATTGTCCATCCGAATGAAAAACAATTTTTTTTGGTTAGCCATAAAGCTATACAAGGCACAGCTAAACCGACGCGTTATAATGTTATCGAGGACGATTCCAATTTCGATATTGATCTGTTGCAAAAGCTAAGCTATAATTTGTGTCACATGTTTCCACGCTGCAACCGGGCCGTTTCATATCCGGCACCTGCTTATTTAGCCCATCTTGTTGCCTTTAGGGGACGTGTGTATTTGGAGGGGTAAGTTGCCTATAGAACAAGCCTTACAGAGTAAGCTTGGTTTTATTATTCACATTACATAACATTTCAGTGCATTTCGTTTTGGCAACCTGAAGGACGAATATAAAAAACGCTCTATTCAATCTGGCCTAATGAAACGAAATCCAATGTATTTCATATAAAATATGGTCGATCTTATTATTTATAATAGTTATACATTATATATAATATTTATTATTACATTTTTCGTGGTGTCTAAAAAATTTCAATCTAATAAAGACTTTAATCTACCACAATATTTTTTGCCATTGAATCCTTCTCAGCTCAGCTGTGATTGGGATCGTTAACTTCCTTTTGGTTAATGGTGGTTTATATCCCTACCGATTAAACTCATTTGCAAATCAACTTGTCTGAGGCGGAGACCTTATGTTCATTGAAATCGTCCGGGTATCCTGACCCTGATAGTGTAGCAACGTAGTTTAATCTACGTGGTGGATTATTTCCTTAGATATTGTTATTAATAATTGCTTTAGAAAAGGTTACCTTTTGAATATTCCGAAAGCAATGTTAAATATTGTCCTTGAAAACTTACAATCAATTATACAGTGTCGAACTCAACCAACTCTTTCGCAAGCCAGCCAACCAACACTTCCTTCAAAAGTAAATTGAGAACATTACTAAATCCTTGCCTTCTATTAAAAATAATCTCGAGAGTACTAATGATTCTATAAAATTAGAGCATCGCCTTTATTAATCAATAATATTTAGATAAAATTAAGTGAAGCTTTGAAATCCGTCGCACTGGAGGAAACTTCTAATCGAACTTCCGAAGCAATGCCTACACAAAGTAGCAAAGTAAATAAATCAATAGATACTGAAAATGTTGACGACGTAGAAGCAAGAGTGAAACGTTTTTCCATGTAACTCATAGAGAACGAAGGATTGCTTAAGTAATTCCAATATGGAGCCAGTGGCTGATCCGGATCGTAATTCTCTTGTAGACATGAAATCTGACTGATCTGAGCCTGTCTGTCCGCGTGCCAGTTCATTCGTTCATCACCTTTTCTAGTATTCAACATACAGATAGCAATTTTTTTTTTATGGCCAGTTGATTTTATACATATATCCGAGGCTTTTGTCGAGAAATTTCGAAGCTTAAAAATACTTTTCATATGATCAACTTTTTTAAAATAAAACTCTTTTAAATGATCCGATGTAATCCATTTTGCATATAGGATTCATCCTTGGACGTCGGTGTACTTAATTCATGATGATATTTCAAACACTGTGACCTGATTGCATAAACGGAATTTGTGAGTAGTTGTCACTTTTTCTTTCCAATACGATCAATGACTCACGAGATGCTGCCTCTTCGTGTAACACGTTGGCAGCCAACAAGTAGTACGAAGATGGCTAGCAAACGTGACTGAGCGATCACCCTATAGCTATAGCTCCGACCAGATGAAATCTAGCGTGCTACTCACTCTTTTAAGTTAGTTATGCGTTCGCTTGAACGTAATATACTCTGTACGATAAAGAGAGAGAGAGAGGGTATTAAAAGAAATTTCCATGAATTTTATAGTCTCTTCATTAACAATACGCGGATAAATGAAACTTTCCTTAATTGAACATTCTTTTGTAGAAATTCTCTTTCAATCCTCATATCAGGTAGTAATGCTATCATTTATTATTTCATTTACCGTTAAAGGTATAATTGAACGAACATTTTGTTTTTTACTTGCGTTTAGTATAAAATTCCAATTTATTGAGTAAGGGCATAAGCTTAACGAATTGACTTTAATTAGTGTCGTGTGAATCATTTAAAATCAACCGTTACAATATAATCGTCCCGTTGCCTAAATTGTCCAGATTCATAAGTTTTTGAAGAGCTTTCTACAACAATCGTCTATCAGGGAGTAAAAATTTAGTTCAATTATATTCACATGAGATAGTAGTTACACTATTACATTGGAAACATGTAAGTAAAGAAATGAGTAGTTGCTGTACTATAGTTATCTGACGGTAACAGGCCATTGCATTGCATTGTTTATATCGGAGCGCTCTCCAATTTTTACTGCCCTACTTCAAACATTCAAACATCACAAGAGATGACTACACTCAAGCCTGTTTTTGTGCGACTTGTTTTATGCGGCATTTATATACATATTTATATATAGTTTTTTCGATTTTTGATATATATTTCATCACATTATATAAGTATTGCGTCAGGCAATTACTATAAACTATAAACGCATCGTGTTAGTTCGGGTTCGTTTGTGCCTCGTTACGTCGCTGAGTTGGTTTTTTTGCAATTCCTAGTTATTTCGTAAGGTTTTGAGTCATTATCTATGCGAGACTTTTTTTATGCGATTCCTATCCGCCACACAACAACAGATTTGAGTGTAATATAAGAATATAATAAAGCGTAAAGTAAGGGCAGTTTCTACCTTCAAATACCTTTCTATACCTGGCAAGGAAAAAAAATTGTAGTTGGGCAAAACCGACCGCTAAATGCCATACACTGTTAATATTACTCTTCGCTATTTTTCTGACAAAATACTAAAAATTGCAACTTGTTTCAAATTTTAAGGTTTACGTCTTCATGAGAAAACTTATATTAATCAGCGATTTTTTCAAACAATTATGAAAATTGCAATTTCTTTTCATACAATGACTTTTTATACCCTACATCACTTGTGTGGTACAGAGATATAAGAAATTTGTACAGATAGATGTAATATACACAGAAGAATTTGAGCCGGAGCCACCCTTTATTATAACGATCGATTCAAAATCACTTTTTGCACCGATCCAAGATTGTCTGTCCTGCCTCCCTGTCTGTCTTGTTTTCTTTTATGCTGCTTACAGATTGTGATTTTTAAGATATTTCGATGAAATTGAAAATATTTTGACTACTCCTCACGCAAAGACTTACTCTGAAATATCGTTATATAAATAACTGTAATAAATGAAGTGATGGCACGATTTCAAGTCGGGCATATGAAGCTTTTTTGTTACAACTCGCTCTGGTCGGTCACTTACTAAAAAAAGTCCATAAAATTTTGCAACTTGCGGAGTAATCGCGGCACACAAGCTACCAGCTGAGATAATAAACATCAACCACATGACTGTTTGGAATCATTTAAAAAGAGTAGGCTACCTAAAAAACCACACATTAGATAGACAATAAATTAATATAAATATCTTGAAACTTGAAAACTCTTTACATTGAAGACAAGAATACATGGACAGATATCGGGCAAAGAGGAAACCTTAAAATCAACTTAGAATCGATGTAATGCAAAGCACATATGTCTTAAGCATCACACAGATCCGAGTGCGTTAAACATCCACGCGAACTCAATATACACTCTATATATTGTAGGCTACAAAAAGAAAATTTAATATTTTCCGTGCATTATAGGTTGTTGATTAACGACAACATTTACTATAACTCAATCCGACTCCCTCTACTCTAACATACTATTGCAGAAATTCCCTTTACTCCACTCGTACAGGAATTATCTATAAATCTGAGAAAAACCAAATTTTATCATTAAGTACTTCTTAGGATATAACGGAGCGACAAGATGAGTATCTTACTTGCGTCGAGTACTGAACTTCAAGTTGCTGAATCAAGACGCAAAGCTACATCATCACCCCAATATCGTGCAAAAAGATTTTAAAGGCGATTTCATTGATATTTTTTATTACATTTTTATTTAAGAAGTTAACGTCAAATAAACCGCCTACAACGTCAGGAAAAAACTTCATAAAATAATTTTATAACAAAGGATAAGGTGCTAGTGTATTTATTTTTAAAGCAAATAAATAAACAACATTATTGTACCGCGACATTTCAAAAGCATAAGTGAACGCTTAACAACTACCGGAGATATGCATATATCCTTTGATAATAGACCACTGTAAGAATTGTTTATATCAAACGTCTTTCCAGCTATCTTCAGAGATATTACGATAACAGAATACTCTGCAGATTGTTCGTTTTGAAGTCCTTGCCTTACTTCAAACATTGCACAGACAGAAAATTAAGTGTCTGTTGTTTCTTCAATTTCTCCCTTTCCAAGCACTAGTTCACCTGAAATTCCCGAAATTAACAACGAACTGTATGGAAACGTGAGACAATTCTTTAAGTTACAGATTAACTAAAAGCAATCTTCGTAAAATACAAAAATATCTTAACTTACACTCCGGAAGACAATCATACAATAATGTTCACGTAAGTAACAGTGTAAAATCTCTTGCCTAGGACCACAACGAAATATTCGGTTCTGAAACATTCATGCAAGGCGCAGTCAACTTAGCCGAACTCGATGCATGCTCTGTAAAGGCTGTGATCCAGTACATCTACAGCGGCAGCATTCAGATCACGGAGGGTAATGTCCTACCCCTTCTATCAGCAGCAGATTTATTGCAAATAGACTGGGTCAAGATGCAATGCTGTCAACTTCTCAAACGGGTCCTAAAGCCGGAAAACTGCTTTAGTCTTCAAAGATACGCTGGTAAGTGACTTGAGTCTTTCCAGAAGTATTCCACAACCACTTGTACTTAATGCTCTTTCAGATATGCATTCTTGTGACGATTTGTACGATCATTGTCACAAATACATATTAGAAAATTTTCCACAACTGACAAACACCGAAGAATGGCTGCTGCTAACTTTGTGTGGTTTATGGAGTAATGAAACCTTTTTAATTCGTTTGTTTACCATGATATTCAGTAGTGATCCGTGCAATGAAATATGAATTGCACCGAAGTAATGGTGTGAATGCATTGCGGAGTTTCTTTTTCGCTACGCCCTACATTATGATCTAAGAGTACTCAAGAGATTTCATAAGAGAGACGACCGAACATATAACTTATTTCACATGTTTTCCTACTGCTTTCCAAGTTATCATGTATTGACTGATAATTCTTCATTACCAGTGTGTCCTTGTTGAATTTAGGGATTTTTTAAATTTCTTAAAAATTTTCATGGAGTTTCGCGTACCCACGTGTTCAGCTTTTGAAAACGATTCGGATCGGAGTACGGTTTCAGTCTGTTCCCATATAAAAGTCACTATATAAAGTCATTATATAAATAACTGTAAGGTGGAGTTTTACAAAATTTTTCTTTGTTTTTCTATTTGCTATCGATTACCTTACCTTAATGACTTTCATTCTTTTCGTTATTATGAGTTTCTTTGGTGTGGCTAAGTGAAAAGTACTTGAAATTTAATTTGTGGCCATACGATGATCGTATTGCAAGATAAGAAAAGTGTGATTATTATCTACTTTTGAAAATCGATATGTTTAATAGAAGACCATTTTTAGCATTCGAATTATTTTTAGACGATCGCAACATCAGAAAATTGGACATTTTTCCGGTTGAAAGTGAGACGTGCTTTGCTGTGCTGTTATCGATGGTTCGGAATGCGAGAACGTCGTAGTTTGCATAGAATCCAAATTCCTTCAACCGATTTCCCAATAAATTCCTACCACTTCTTTCATGCGACTTTCTCGGCATTTGGAAGAGCTTTCTTTAAGACTTACGCATTAGTCCAGATTATCTCGGTAATGTCTACGTAATATAATCTTTGAGTTTGGAATAAATCGCGCCCCATAAAAAAAGGAGATAAACGTAGCCATTGTATTCCTCACTTCAGTTGAAGGAATGTTTACGTGAATGTTGATAGGCAAGAAAACGATTGATGCGTTGATTTATGATAAATTATGAAAACAGTACTCGGTTACTCAATCAATAATCTTTTCAGTAATAGTCCATAGAGTATTATTCACCAACTCAGCGATAAATATCGTATATACATATATCACGATATATAATATATATAGGTCCGTGAAAGCGAAGTTTACCTTTCACATTGTGTGCATAACTTTGAAATGAAGATTTTATCCGCTCTAAAGTAAGTACAAGAGTGGATGATCCAATTTGAGAACACGCTTCTCTTCTAAGCTCACACTATAATATTTCTAATCAAATTAACACAACGAGCCATACCACAATTGGATGAATTTTTCTGTTACTTACGCTCGTAGATTGAATTTTTCTGCTCAGACCTGCTTTATGTCTAATATTTCTTCATAAAGCGCTTCTCTGCTGATAGCAATTTGCATTAATCCCAACTGTTCCACGTTCCACGTGAGCGAGAATTTAGAAAAGTTCACAAATTTCTCACCCGCTTGAGTGGCCGAGCGCAAAGAATCTCAACTCGCAACTTCAATGGTCGTAGGTTCGAATCTCAAGTATGGTAGAATTTTTAATAAAGCCGATAATCGTGGACGCATGCTAGTCCGTGAAAGCTTAGAAGTTATTACTCCGGTTAAGTTAATAATAATAAAAACAATAATAGAAAATTTCTATAAACGGAACGAGATTTACGAATAAAGTGAAATTTTTCTACTTCGATGTTTAGGTTCCGATTCCACGAATTCCTTTATGTTATCCTTTAAGTATTCACAAAGTCGACAAGTAACGTAGAGAGCGATCTTCCTTCTATAGTTATTGAAATATTCGGCGATAGTTAAACATAACCGTTATCTCATTTTTGTTTCACTCAACCAACATTTGTAAAATTTTTTTTCTTTTTTCTTCAACTCGTTCGCCGTCGATAAAATAATTTGTTATATAAAATTTCTATTCCACTTTTCAAACATCCACCGATCGATTAATACTCAAACGATTTCTATAAATAACTTTCAAGTTACACTAAGTCACTTACAACAAAACAAAATAAAATATTTAATATAAATATAATTTTGATAAAGTGTACAACACCACCGCACAAACAGTATATAGAAGTAGTAAGTAGAGGATCTGCTCAATATTTTCTTCGAAAAAATTAATCATCCGTAAGAAAATATATCCTGTTAGTTAAATTTAGTTACGGAAACGTGAGACAACTCTTAAAGTTACAGATTAACTAAAAGCAATCTTCGTAGAGTACAAAAATATCTTAACTTACCCTCCGGAAGACAGTCATACAGCAATGTTCACGTAAGTAACAGTGTAAAATCTCTTGCCTACGATCACAACGGAATATTCGATTCTGAAACATTCAAGTTCCGTCTTTAGATCTCCCTTCAAACCTACAAGTGTCAGCGTCACCAAGGAACTGATAGCCGAAAATAATTATAAAAATCCCGATTATGGCAGCACTCTACTGGAAACTTTAAATAGGATGCGACTGAATCAAGAGGTAAGCGAATATATTCTCTACAATAAGAGCGTTAGAAACTTACTTTTTCCATTTTAAAGCATTGCGATTTCTCTCTGCAAGTTGATGATGAAACGATTTTCGTTCACAAATGGTTACTTGCGGCTGCTTCACCTTATTTTGGAGCAATGTTAAGAAGCAAGTGGTGTCATGTAAACGTTAAGAAACAAATCAAAAATTTCTCCAACTATTTTAGATGATATGAAAGAGAAGGCGCAAGGCACAGCCGAGTTAATCGACGTCGATGCATCTTCTGTAAAAGCGGTGATGGACTACATATACAGCGGCAGCATTAAAGTCACGGAGAGTAATGCCCTACTTCTTCTATCAGCAGCAGATTTATTGCAAATAGACTGGGTCAAGGTGCAATGCTGTCAACTTCTCAAACGGGTCCTAAAGCCGGAACACTGCTTTAGTCTTCAAAGATACGCTGGTAAGTGACTTGAGTCTTTCCAGAAGTATTCCACAACCACTTGTACTTAATGCTCTTTCAGATATGCATTCTTGTGACGATTTGTACGATCATTGTCACAAATACATATTAGAAAATTTTCAGCAGTTGACAAACACCGAAGAATGGCTCCTGCTATCTTTTGAAGAGGTATGCGGTTTACGGAGTAATGAAATCTTTTTAATTCGTTTGTTTACCATGTGAACACAAATAGATTTTTAATGTTCTTTTTTCTACATCTCCTTTCAGATCGAAAAACTTATGAAAGACGACAAACTCCGGGTCATAGTTGAGGAAAACGCATATAAAGCGGTGATAAAATGGATCAAACATGACCAAAGGGCCCGCCAAGTACACCTTTCTGCATTAATATGCCATATACGCTTGCCTTTCGTCTCCACTGAATTCTTGACGAATCATATATTAGCTGAACCTCTCCTTAGAAATGATCTACAATGCAGTCACTTCTTAATTGACGCCTTAAGTTACCAACTATTACCAGAAAGTAGACGAAAGTGTTTGTCGAGTGCCACTCAGGACGAGAAAATGATTAAGAGCAGGAACGAGATAAAACATTATGTGCTGTTTGTCGGGGGTCAATGTGTAAGATCCTGGGAAGTATTTAGCAGATGCGAAATTTACAACAAAGCCAGCAATCAAGTGCTCTCTACTTCCAAAATGAAAACGCCTCGATGTGAAATTGGTGCAGTTGCATTAAACGGTCGCGTGTTCACAGCAGGCGGATGGTTAGGTTCAAATCATTATTCAAAAACAGCGGAATGTTACGACGCTTCTAAAGGAAAATGGACCGACATTGCATCAATGAGCGACATTCATTTAAGCTATGGAATATGTGCATACAATGATCTCGTCTATGTAATCGGTGGGCGCAATACTTCAACTGTCGAATGTTACAACCCTTCGACAGATCAATGGCACAACTGTGCAAAACTACCTTTCACATATAAATGTGGCAATCAAGCTGCAGTTCTGGAAAATTGTATTTTTAATTGCGGTAGTTTTGAAGATAGCACGCAACATACGCGTTCGTTGACTCGATATGATCCGCGAGAAGGACGATGGTATGATGTAAAAACAACAACAACAGCAAAAAGATCTCCAGGAGAACATTTCGTATTGTTACCCTACAAACACTTCCTTATTAGCGTTAAAAATCATTCCCAACGCTTTGATGTACGATGTAACAAATGGGAAGACATGCCATGCATGAATTTCAGCAGAGGAGGCCAGTCGGCCGTAATAATTGATGAAGACATTTATGTGTTTGGCGGCCGTATTCCTTCCGATCCCGACACACGTGTACATATTACTAGTGTTGAACGTTTCAATTTGAACACTAATAAATGGACAATAGTTGATTCGGTAGATATTAAACACTGCATTGGGGGCGCGGCTGTAATCAATGAATGTTTAGATTTCAGCGAAGCATCCAAATAATATTCCTACTATTCTTTGTTCTTTGTAATAATTTTGTATCGAGTTAACTTGGGATTGGTGGCTATAAGATTTATCGAGTAATGTTTTCCATTTAACACGAAATAAAAGCCAAAGAGAATTATATTCAATTTTATATTATTTGTAAAATCGTGTAGAGATCTTATAAGTCCCTCTAACAGCAATCGCTTCTTCCTCCAAAGGCAAATGAGTTTCAAAGAGTCTTTAAAGAATAAAAAAATATCTTCGGAATAACCCATGTAGTTCCGAACGACAACTAGAAGCATCAGCGAAGTTCACAATACTCATTGAGTATGCACGGAATGGTTTTGTAGTGTGTATGCTTTAGGAGGAAGAAGTTAAGTGATATGACGCGAATTTAGCTTAACATGGTTCTTATCGGACGTCTGTCTGTTTTTCACAGCAGCTCTGTAGTTATAAAAAAATTGGACAATGGATTAGCAGCCACCTGCCGAACCTAATATAAATTATAAGGTGTAGAAAAACCTTTTTCTCATTTACTACGAAATAAAAACCAAATAAAAAAATAATCCTTTTCACAATATGTCAACAAAAGTCAATAAGTTGTAGTATTTCGACATTCTAAATCGGTATGAAAAATTTGATCCGCCTGGGGCAATTTTTTGAACCCTTTGTGATGTACCCGTTGCTGCGAAAGTTGAATCTTTATATATTAAAAAGGTGTAATTTTCAAAATTTCATGGCAAAAATTGGCATAGAAATCAATCTTGCCAAAAATGAACCATGTAGGTCTATTTTTTCGATATCACACATAACTATGCTCAGGAAATCTGCAATTATATGCCAGAAAGGCGTAATTGTTAGGGTTTTATGATGAACATCGGTTCATAACAGTGAACTTACAGGTGCGAACCATATGGCTCTATTTCTAGGACCGCGCTCCATAAAAAACTTTTCAAAAAAGCTTAAATTTTATAACTTATGAAGAAAATTGATCCATAGTAGCAAGATAACCAAAAAAGTTAGCATTAGGGAATTTGGATCACATAGGTCTACTGCTACTTTTGAGATTCTAACAAATACAAGGGTTATCATGAACACTGTGCCCTTATATGGAGAAAAAGTATAATTTGTAGTTTACTATGATGGAGACTGATAAATAATACAATTTTTGGGAAATAAACTGAGTTTGCTAAATTGGGATCGCGTCATTGAACGTATTGGACATCCTCCAATATCCGAGCTTTCATCCGGGCTTTGCCAGAAAATAATTAATAATTTTTGATGTATTATTAACTAAAGGAGTAAATAACTTCATTAAGTGAAATGGTATAGGATATTTAATAGTCGCTCTTGTCCGACTATAATATTCTTAATTTTTATTTATTAAAGATAACATTGCTGTGGTTCATAGTAATAAAAATGTTACACTTCGCTAACTAGAAATTCAACCAATAAATGTACTCCATGCTGAAAGTGAGTTTGATCCTCTAAGGTAAAGTGAGGCGCTGACCCTTTTATTGATGTTCTTGGTTAGTTTGTATTATAGTTTGAGCAACTGGTTGACTGATTCTACTAATAGGTGATAGCTATCGTTATTCAATTTTAATAAGAATTCACAATATTTCTTAAGCTTTTTTAAAACGCAAAAGCTTTCTCGCTCTTAATATTTCTCTCTCTCTCTCTTTCTTTCTCTCACTTTCTCTTTCTTCGACTTTCTCTAAAAGAATTTTTCCTCTCTATATATGAAACAATAAAGGCTCTTACAGGACTTATCAAATAGTTTCGTTATGGAATTTGAACGCTATGCATGACAGTAGTGAACGGTGGATGGATTCTGTAAGAACGTAAATAATTGGGTTGCGGTTTATTGTAACATTAAAGTGTGAATTAATTTTTTCTTAGACAAACAGCAAAGCAAGAAAATTTCGGAACCAATTAAAAGAAAAACTAAACAAAAATCGATTAATTAAAGAAAAATATATACACATATATATATATATATATATATATATATTCTTTTTAATAGCAAAAGAAGTCCTTT